GTAAGACTTCGTAGAAGGCTTCCAAGAAGTGAGAAGACTACTCAGACGACTTCCTGGAAGTCTTCTACAGAGTCTTACTCTCTGGACGACTTACATGTAAGTCGTCCAGAGAGTAAGACTTCGTAGAAGGCTTCCAGGAAGTGAGAAGACTACTATGACGACTTACAGTCGGAGAAGATTTAGTCGGAGAAGATGTGGTTACAGATCTGCATATCGAAGGGAAAAGAAGAGTCAAGACTACAATTTTTAGGGTTTTCCGGCGGCTAAACGCCTTAAAACATAAGATATAACAACATACCGGCGGCGGAGGAAAGGGCTACGAGATTTCAGATCTGAAATCGGAGAGATTCGTCGAAATCGCCTTTACAATCGTCCTTGGAGAGAAACGGCGCTAGGGTTTCGGAAAATTGTGAAAAAGTGAAAAAAATAACTTTTATATGTCCGGTAAAAATCCGGTTAGGTTAAAACGTAAAATGTTAAAATTAACGGTTCGGTACAACTAGACGACTGAAATTTCAGTCGTTTGAAAAATAATTTAAAGCAGACGACTGAAATTTCAGTCGTCAGGGAAATAATTTAAAGCAGACGACTGAAATTTCAGTCGTCTAAACCCTAAACATAACCCCTAAAATTTATTCTCTAATTAAACACTTCGAAACATCAATTTAGACTTGAAAAATGTTTACTATACACAGAAATAAACACATAGAGGTCAAATTAATTTTTTCAAAAAAACATTTCAGCTTTTCAAAATCTAACCCTAAGATTACATACAATACTACAACATATGTTTGCCAAATACTTAAACAAAAGAATATCATGATTCACTACTTCCACTCATCTATGCTGAAAATCAATCAACTTTATCATTTCTTAATTTATATCACTTATAAATGTTTATAATTACATGTTTTTAATTTTTCACTCATCGAAATATTTTGTACAGAATTTATAAATTATTTTTAAGATTCAATCGTCCAGACAACTAACATTTCAGTCGTCCAGACGACTGAAAAGTAACTCAGCCCGACCCAGACAACTTACCGGGGTTATATTCGTAAAAATGTCTTCTGTTTTTTTGTTTGGTCACAGAGCACTATACTGTAATTTCACAGCCCTTTTAGGTTAGATTTGCATTTGATTCAAGTTAGGGTCTAGTATTGGGGTTAAAACCAAGTTATGGGTTAGTTTTGGCAATTTTCCCTATATTTTTATATATAAAACTTAAATTTTAAATTAAGATATAAAAACTATTATATTTATCTAAAACGAATTTATATTAATAATTTAATATTTAAATCAATAACATTATTTGAGATGTAAATTTGCTTAGTTGTCATGTTCTCCATAAGTTTATGTATTTTT